GTAAGTAAGTAAGTAAGTAAGTAAGTAAGTAAGTAAGTAAGTAAGTAGGTGAAAGAATATGCATGTAGAGTGACTAGAGTGTGAGTGCAAGCAGAGTGTTTTAGCATGGCTTGGAATTCATGTAATATGCCACGCAGAAATGTGCCTGGTCATCGTGAATGTGCATAAAGTTATCACACGCTTGCATATCCATGCATATTCAAAAATATATTTATATGCATATAAAAGCGGCAGCATGCATACATAAGTGTGTACGTGGATTGATGGTTAAGCTCATCAAAATGCATAAGTAAGTAATTATAAAATAAAAGACAATTGCATAAAATATTAAGTGGAATAAAGAAAAAAATAAAATATGCGTAAGTTGTAAATAGAAAATAAAGAAAAATAAACAAATGTATTAAACAAGCCACGTTACACAGTGTAATATCCCCATAAAAACTGCGGCAAAAAAATTTTTTTTAACATATTCCGATTTTGCTGAAACATGGTACGTACTCTCCTTTCACTTGGGAAAAGTAAAATATCAAAATGAAATATGAAATTTGAGCTTGATTAATACATGTTTACAAATTTTACAGCACAAAAACAAATCGTTTTAGTAGTTTTCAAAATAACTCGAGAACGGGGCGAGGAAAAAATTAAAGAAAAATCACACATCCACAAATCGAAATTCTCTATGAAAAGAAATATTTAAACATTTTTTTCTTGAAAAATATTTAACACACAAATTTTTTTATCAAAAAAATTAGTTTTTGAAAATATGGCATCTCAAAAAAAATTTAAAAAAAAATCACAATGGTAGCTCTGAGTATTGCGCAATATTTAAGTATATTATTATGGGGTGCACTCTGCAATAATTTGAATTATGAATTTTTTTTTACACCGAAGTTGAGTAAAATGAGTACATTAAAAATTTAAAAGTTTTTTTTTTAATTTTTTTAGAATATTTTTTTAGTATGCAGTCTTGTACCCATTAAGTTTGCTGGCTCTTTGAGCGGGGAGCGACTGACGGTATCATCTCTGCCGTGCTCAATAATTAGATCCGCCTCCTCTTCGGTAAGACGATCTAAGGCCTTACGCCTGGACCCCTCTGCGTTGATCAGCATGATGCTGCTGTACGTGGCTGTTGCCGGTCGGTATTGCTGTAGATGATGTCAACTGTTGCTGCTTAAA